ATTGTAGAGTTGGTTTCAGTTTCTGTGCATTGTATTGAATATATCATTGGATTCGTTACCCGCATCCAAGTTTAGGCGTAAATAATCGACCATAACTGATTATTATGATGATTTTTTGACAATTATAATTGATTATAATTACCAAAATTAGGTGTTTAAAGGATTTATAATTGATTATAATCGTGATATTTTCCAAGAGATTATAATCTCTTATAATCGCTTATAATTTCTTATAATTCTTACAAAAAATCCCTTAGAATCAATTATAATCGATTAGAATCGATTGTAATCTCTTATTTTGCCAAAATTTTGTCAATCAAAACATTAGTCGAATTATATCTTGTGGGTTATTATTTTTGTTTCAATAAAAAGTCTCTAAATGAGAGATCTCTTGAACACTTTGTTTCATCTGAACACAAAGTTTCAACTCGAAACAAAAGTTTCATAGAGATAGTTTCATATTAGTGGAAAGGTTCTCGCGGTAGACGAAAAATAAATCTTCCGAATTAATCATAACACCAAATCACCAAATCAACTTGCTGATATTTTGGTGGTTAAAAAGCTTAAAAGATGCATCACAAAACAACTCCATTGGGGAAGAAATGAAAAAAAAACAACCTAATAAATTTATAAATTTGAATTGATTGGAAAACTTTAAAAACATTTTTCTCATTTTTCATAGGAACCAACGTCTACAAAAAGCATAAAATATAAGCAATTTCGATGCAACTTCGAAGACAAAATGGACAAAAAAAGGGATTATAATCAATTATAATCGATTATAATGGATTCTTGTGCGAAACTAATGAATTAGAAATTTGAATAAAAATAATGAATTATAATCAATTATAACTGATTTGAATTGTATGGAAAAATGTACGAATAAATAATCGATTATAATCGATTAAAATAGATTATAACTAATTATAATTTGATCTTAAAAAGAGAGATTATAATCGATTATTAATTGATTAAAATCGATTATTTCTCAATTTTAGTAAGACTGGTACTAAAATCGTAATATAATCGATTATTAACGCTTAAAACTGGATGCGGGAGAGCAATCATTGGTGCTTTTCAGAGATCGCAGTTCAGTTCCTGCAATTCTTTTTGCAGTTCATTGATCTTTTCTGTGTATTGTTACGACTTCTGTGCATTGTAAGTAATGTATCAGTGGATTAGACTTCTGTGCATTGTAATGAATATTATATTGGAGGGGTTAGAGCAATCATTGGTGCTTTTCAGAGATCCTAATTAATTTCCTGCATTTTATGTTGTAGTTTATTGATCAATTTGAGTGTTGATCAACTCAAATTGATAAAAACTTTGGAAAAAAAACAAGAGTCTTAATAGCCAATACATTTTATGTTGGAATATAATCAGAAAAATGTTTGGTTTTCAGACGAATCATCTTCATTCTGATATATGATTTAGGTAAAAAAACTGTCTAGGCCTGTCTAAGACTTTTTAGTTATCGGCGTTGCTTCTTGATTAAAATGCTTTGAATATATCGATATAACTGCATCCGATGCAGATGCTACAGATGCTAATTTGCGATGCGAGATGCTACAAAAAACTCCTAAACTGATTGGCGAAGCGCACGTTGTTTCGTCTCTACAGGTTATGGATACAATTTGTTTCTGCTGAAATCATTTTTTAGTTTTAAAATTAGTATAGTTTTTGTTCACTTAAAGCTAACATGAAAGACCTGTAAAATTTGAGACTCGCATTCGTAACATTTAGGACTTTGCATTGACCCGCAGTCTTGCTGTAGTTAAGTCATCAGCTGTTTCGCAAATGACTGTCATAGCTCCCTTTTGTTTTCGTGAGAAAGGTTTGTCCCTCGTCATCCCGAAAAATAGCTTCTCAATTTTGCAAAAGCTAAGATTTAAGAACAAAATCAGGGGCAATTTTAGGTGGGGGGGACGCATTGCTTCCTTAGGGATTCGAACCCCTGCCGACCCAAAGGGTTCCCCCTTTGTACTATTTTGAGATATCCACTTTTGGCAACGGAGACTAAAATTTTTCAAAAAAGTGGCTTTGGCGCCAATATATAGTAATTTTGAGGGGGGAGCGCGCGCAAAAAAAACGCAATTTTTTGCTCAAAATTTTCCAAAAAATGCCTAAAACGCCTTTTTTTGGCCTATTTTTTCAAAAATTTGCCTGTGGCGCAAAAAATTTGGCCAAAACAAGGTCAGTGCTTTGGGTGAGCTCGGAAAATCATTTTGGTCAACCTATAAAAAGGTCGAAATTTTTTTTTGAAAATCCGCCCCCCTCGAGAAAATTCTAGATCCGCCCCTGAACATAATGATTGCATTGAGATAAATTTTTAATACGATAAGTATGCTCAATGTTTGAATTCAGAAAGACATCATCTTAACTTTAAATTCCTGATGTAACATTCAATGCGCATGAATGAGTACTGCCAGAGATTAAAATCGCATTTAACATCTAGTAGCCATTTTTGGATTATTTTGAATCTCAAAGTTTATGAAGTTCGCTATTTTTACCCAATTATTCGATCATCAATCAATTTTGAAGTATTGCAAAGCTAATCAAGCGCCCACATTTGTCTTTTATTCAATTCTAACTTAGTTTTTTCCTTTTCCAGTTTTTATTCGTATTTCTTTCCATGTTTAAGCAATTGTTTCAATTTTTTTTTTAACTCGAGGCAACATTTGATAGGTTTAAACTATGAAAAAACTACATTGAAAACCATAATTTGGAATTGCCTTGTATAGTTTTAGTTGCTCGAAGCCTTTTTGTATTGATATGAACAGTTAAAATGCGAATCAAAAAAGCTGCGAGGCAGTTTTTTGTTTGAGCATCAATTGTTTTTTTTCTTTCATTCAACACCTTCTTTTGTCCTGCAATATTCCTTCAATCAGTAAAACTGACTACCGTTTTATTCTGTTATGAATCGGCAACTCCCACAGCAAACATCGAGTTAGTTTTGATCCATTTTCAGGTGGTGGGATACAGTACAAAAGTGAACGTAGGCGGGTGGGGTGAATGTATGCTTTTTAGCGCATCAAATCATTTCTTTTTTGACTTAGTTCAGCAAATTTAATAACAATTTTCTTTAGAACACTTCTACTACAGTAGAATTTTTCCACTACGAGTGTTTTTGCTAAAGATCCTGAAAAAGATCTTTTAAGAGAGAGATTCAAAAAGTAGCGCTCTGAAATAAATTTTTCACTATTGAGGTTTTTATAGAGATTTGGGATAGCTCAGAAAATCAATTTGTTCAACGTAGAAAAAAACAAAAGGTCGACAAATTTTTCGACATTTTTTTTGAAAGTCCTCCCCCTTCTGTATGTTTATTTATTATTTGTTGCAACTATTTGAAAAACTGGAGGGAACTTTGTATTTGAGTGTGTTAATTTTTTTTGTTTTTGTTTTCCACGCAAAATCAGGTACCACACATAATCATCCCAATGAATCAAGTTATATATCATAATAAAGCCCTTTTAGTCGTGATTCGAAAGGCACCCAAATTTGAAGTGTCGAGATAATCCAATTTTTGATTTTTGCTCTAATTTCGAGCTACCCGCATGCAAGTTTAGGCGTAATTAATAATCGATTAAAACGGATTATTATGTTGATTTTTCGACAATTATAATTGATTGTAATCACCAAAATTAAGTGTTTAAAGGAAATATAATTAATTTTATTCGTGATATTTTATACCAGAGATTGTAGTCTATTATAGTCGATTATACTTTTTATAATTCATACATTTGAATATTTTTTCTTATTTTGCCAAAACTTATCACATCAAAAGTATATTTTAATCATATCCTATTGATTACTATTTTTCTGTCCACAGCAAAAGTTCAAAAAGCGAGGCTTCTTATCACACTTAAGTTCATCTGAACAGATAGTTTTACCAGGAAACGAAAGTTTCAGAAAAAACCTTCATTTTAGTTGAAAGGTTCCCCACGGCGAATGAAAATAAATATTCTGAATAAGTCATGAAAACATAGCAATTCTAACAATTTGCGAAAAAAATTAAAATGTGCATTGTGAATACCTTTTATGGAGAAGAAAAGAAAAAATAAAAACTTTTTAAAATTTAATTGACTTGAAACAGTTTTCTAATTTTCCATATAAATCATACTACGAATATCATACTATAAAAACAATTCAGATGCAATGAAAAGTAATTGATTATTTTGAGTTGTTTAGGCAAGTTATATGAATTAGAAATTGGGAGAAAAAGTCAATATAATTGATTATATTCGGTTTGAATTGTATCAAAAACTAGATGATTAACAATAAGTTTTTATCGATTAAAGTTTAGCATTATTAATTAAGATTTAGTTTTTGAAAAATTAAAAAAGATTATTAAAGAATTAAAAATGAGTTTTCTCAATTTTAGTTGGACTGGTACTAAATTTCTAAAGTAACCAACTAATAACGCTGGAAACGGGATACCTTTACCTGGACGCTTTTATCTGTGTTTGGTAAATTGCCTTTTTGTTTATGCTGGCAAAACTGAGATGCCTTAGAAACCTGTTTATACCTGATAAGTTGCTGCTGCTCTGCGAGATTGAAATTGAATGTTCTCTTTGTATTTTTTTCCAGTCGAAGCAGGATCCAAATGTGCCGTTTTCAAGTAACGGACTTGACAGACAGCATCACCTGTCGGCAAAGGGCACAACCTCAATATCCCACAAAAGGGAGCGCCAATTGCATTCAAAGTCCGAGTTTTTGAGTTTAGACCAACTGAAGCCGGTCAGGCGGCTCTATTAAATCATATTCATTCTCCTACCCCGTTCCAGTATTAACCGCAAGCTAGGTCTCTATGTTTGCTTCTTTTAAACAAAATCATGAAGCGAAACCAAGCTGGCGCGTGGTGCCACATAAGTGGTCGGATCCTCTTTAAATGCAGTGGACTCGCGAGTCTGAAAAATCATCATCGGGGTTTCTATTGCTCACCTTGCTCTCACCCCTATAAAATTCTCAGTAACTGAAAGACCAAACCCCTTCAGACCAACCTAAAAAGTTCTATTACCAATCCCCAAAAAAAACTTACAAAACGCGAAGTTACCCACTTATAGATTCCACCTCAAACGCGCCACACTCTACAGAACCGAATCTATTTGACAACTGTAACCTTTCGAACTCTTTTTTCTCATAACGTCGTTAAATTTCTTCCAAACCCGTTAATTCGAAGTCTTCAGTGTTCTCAAACTTCGGATGATTTATTTTGTGCTCTTTCCATTTTTTTTGACGCATTGCTTATTAGCGGCAAGTTTTTGTTAGGCTAAAAACTCTCAAATGATCTTCTTGCGTTTTGTTTTACCTAAAGCGGGATGTTCTCGAAAAGGTAATTTTTTTCTCTATTTATCTTTTTTTTTGAAATTACCCACAACTTCCCCGAAGCGATAATTACTTGGGAGTGTATAAGGGTCTTACCCCTGATGAATTTTTTTGGGGAGGTCTTCTTCCTATACATTCAGGGCTTCCTCTTGTACAATGAACCTTACTGTTCTGGCTTTCGATAAAAACTCTGATTTTTTTAATGTTGGTCAAGATAGTCGAGACAGTGTTGGTCGAAAAAATTAATTTCAAGCGATTTATTTGTAATTTGATGGCCCTCTTGTCTTTGTCCAAATGGCTTTAAAAAATGTTCTAACCATTGAAAGCGGTAGAAACTTTGTATTGGAGTGTGTTTTTTTTCAATTTTGTTTGTTTTTCACACAAAATCAGGTACCACAATTAATCATCGGACAAAGTTGATAGGGATATCATTCCCAAGCACTTTTAGTAGTGATTCGAACGACATTGAGACATTCAAAATTTTTCTCTTGGTATCGAGGAAAATCGATTTGAATCTTTTGATTTTTTAGTCTAGTAAAATTAGTTTTTGAATTTTTTCTGCGCCAAAGTTTTTCAGACAAATCTACAAAAAAGTATTGCAACTTTTTGTCATTTTTCGAATGAAACTGTTGTCCATATCTCACCAGTTTTACGAATAGTGTAGAATACGTTTAACTTCTACATTTTTGGGCGATTTTTTTTATCAAACCACGCACAAAAAACGGCATTTGATTGAACCAAAGTTTTAGTTTTGGTCGGAATATGTTCTGAATATTCTGTGCTACTTGCACAGCACTCGACTATCTTTGCAAACCCACTTTTTAAATTTTATGTTTTTCTTTTCGTTTTGCGAAATATTATGGCTAAATGTGTGATGTCACGGTGTAAGGCATGAAGAAAAAATGTTAGTTATTTCACAATTCCAAGTTTAATTGCATTATGACAACGTTAAGGGGGCTTGAGGGAGTTTAAAGAATAGTTAAGGGGGGAGGTGGAGGAATTTGTTGAAACAGAAAAAAAAGACAAAACAAAATATGGTTTTCATTGGCATTATATCTCCTAAAAAAGCTGGTACAGTCCAGGAAAAAATGTTAAAAATTAACTTCGAAATTCTGCACGTGTTCAACGTTATTCTGGTTGGTCTATTTGGGATCTTTTTATTGACGAACTGACGACTCACAACTCATTAAGAACTGAAGTCTAGAGAAGTCAAATCTTCGGCTGAAGGGATTGTCAAAAACATGAAAGCTGCTTGCCTTACACTTCTACTTCACATAAGCTGTAAGTAAACACCTCCAATTCTGCTGAGTCAAGCATGGTCTAAATAGATTTTAAAACTTAATATGAATCCCATATGCCAATACATGAGGTTGGAAAGGAAAAGAGCCGTCAATACTATTATCTTGTAAGATTATAGGAATACAAAAACTCGAAAAAATATAATGTACGACTCTTATAAGAAAGTGAGTTAAGAAGTAAGATTCTTCTGAAAAAATGCATTGTGATGTAAGTTTTTTTAATAAAATTTTGATGCAAAATCTTCCATTTTAGGTATTTTAGTACTTTACAATTTCTGCTAGTCTCTACCGTAGGTTCAGCAAAATCCTCGCTCGAGTCGAAAGACTCCCCGAGTGCTTGACAATCAAGCTTCTGTAGGCATTTATTGTTCCGACTTTTGTAACGAAAGTGACAAAACGTTTGTACCCGTAGTGGTTTTTTTTCATCGGAAAAATTTTGACTTTTTAATTGGCCATTAGATATCATTAGAAAAAAATTGTCCGGAGCTTAAACTTAAAAGGATATTTTACCTGTGATGATTATTCGTAGAAATATGGGGGCTTAAAGATTGCCATTTTGGCCAAATTGTGACAATTAACGCGCGATAAATTTCGCGTTATTAACGCGTAAGCGGAGGTCTAATCCGTTTTTAAAATGTTCAAAATTGGTTGAAATAACATATTTGCCATAATTGAATTGTTACTTGGAGCAAAATCTATCACATTGTACTTAATGTGGCGTGTGGGGGATAATTTGTACACCAAATCTCTTTTATGTATTATTACCAAATGTTTTTATGTATTACGACGAAAATGAATATGCGGTTGTCTGAAAACAGACCGCGCTTCATTTTATATATTCTTTAAAAAAAAATTTTTATAACATTTCGAACTGTTGTTTGTTGCCCTGAATTCAAAAATTTGTAAGATTTTTGTAAGATTTTCCTACAAGATAAATTGGTTCTGGGTGATAGGAAGAATTTTCTTAATTTTCCGAGTTCAATATTTCAAAAGAGAAAATTCTTTTAATAATTTTCAACTGCATCTAATCCTCCACAAGATTAATCATTAAAAAATACAACTTTAGAAAATAGTTTTTGGCAATTTTTTCGTCCCCCGTTTTTGAATTTCTATTTTGATAAACTATTTTAAATGTTGTAATAATGTAATGAAATTTTGCATGCCGATTTTTTAATTATTGTGAACAAACTAAGTATTGTGAACAGATTTATCTTATATCGTAACATCACGCGTTTAGCCTTAATCTCACGTAATACAACTATAAAAAATAAAAATTGAAATGTGGGGGGAGGTGGAAGTGGAAAAAAGTCTAGTGTCTAACTTTTTTACATTGTTTAAATCGGGTGTGAGTTTTTTCGTCACTTTCTCAAACTTTTTCGCATTTGCTTGAGAGTTTTTCTGATTTTTGTTGAAGTTTAAGTCTGGTTTCAGAAAACAAGTTCAATTTGCTCATAAAATTACATTTCTGGGTTTTGGTTTTATTTTAAATTGGTTTGTAAGCCTTTTTCTCCAGATTCCCACTCCCCCTCCTCTTCGTAAAATTACAAAATAAAGCTGTTCCAAAACTGTTCACACGGAATTTTGCATGGAAAAAATGTAAAAACTTGTTCTCCTGTTGACATTGACACGTTTTAAAGCAGATTAATGGTTAAAACGTTGACACGTTTTAACCATTTATAACATGAAAACCGTTTGAATTAGACTTTCATTTATTTAATTTTAGAATAAATCAAAAGGGGGGACTGGAAAAGAGCCGCTTGTAAAACTGTAAATCTGATTTCAAAGTTCTGGAGTTGGTTGATAATTTTAATATTTAAGTGATAAATTTTGCAATGTAGGTTGCACATAGTATGACAATTTGTATTTGATATTTTTGTTGTGAACAGATTTATCTTAGATCGTAACATCACGCGTTTAGCCTTAATCTCACGTAATACAACTATAAAAAATAAAAATTGAAATGTGGGGGGAGGTGGAAGTGGAAAAAAGACTAGTGTCTATTTTTTTTACATTGGTAAAATCGAGTGTGAATTTTTTCGTGCATTTTCTCAAATTTTTTCACATTTGCTTGAGAGTTTTCTGATCTTTGTTGAAGTTTAAGTCTGGTTTCAGAAAACAAGTTCAATTTGCTCATAAAATTACATTTCTGGCTTTTTGTTTTATTTTAAATTTGTTTGTAAGGCTTTTTTTCCAGATTCCCACCCCCCTCCTCTTCGTAAAATTACAAAATAAAGCTGTTTCAAAACTGTTCACACGGCATTTTGCATTAAAAATATGTAAAACTTGTTCTCCTGTTGACGTTGACACGTTTTAAGCAGTTTAATGGTTAAAAATTTTACACGTTTTAACCATTTATAACATGAAAACCGTTTGAATTAGACTTTCATTTATTTAATTTTAGAATAAATCGAAAGGGGGGACTGGAAAAGAGCCGCTTGTAAAACTGTAAATCTGATTTCAAAGTTCTGGAATTGGTTGATAGTTTTAATATTTAAGTGATAAATTTTGCAATGTAGGTTGCACATAGTATGACAATTTGTATTTGATATTTTTGTTGTGAACAGATTTATCTTAGATCGTAACATCACGCGTTTAGCCTTAATCTCACGTAATACAACTATAAAAAATAAAAATTGAAATGTGGGGGGAGGTGGAAGTGGAAAAAAGACTAGTGTCTATTTTTTTACATTGGTAAAATCGAGTGTGAATTTTTTCGTGCATTTTCTCAAATTTTTTCACATTTGCTTGAGAGTTTTCTGATTTTTGTTGAAGTTTAAGTCTGGTTTCAGAAAACAAGTTCAATTTGCTCATAAAATTACATTTCTGGCTTTTTGTTTTATTTTAAATTTGTTTGTAAGGCTTTTTTTCCAGATTCCCACCCCCCTCCTCTTCGTAAAATTACAAAATAAAGCTGTTTCAAAACTGTTCACACGGCATTTTGCATTAAAAAAATGTAAAACTTGTTCTCCTGTTGACGTTGACACGTTTTAAGCAGTTTAATGGTTAAAAATTTTACACGTTTTAACCATTTATAACATGAAAACCGTTTGAATTAGACTTTCATTTATTTAATTTTAGAATAAATCGAAAGGGGGGACTGGAAAAGAGCCGCTTGTAAAACTGTAAATCTGATTTCAAAGTTCTGGAATTGGTTGATAGTTTTAATATTTAAGTGATAAATTTTGCAATGTAGGTTGCACATAGTATGACAATTTGTATTTGATATTTTTGTTGTGAACAGATTTATCTTAGATCGTAACATCACGCGTTTAGCCTTAATCTCACGTAATACAACTATAAAAAATAAAAATTGAAATGTGGGGGGAGGTGGAAGTGGAAAAAAGACTAGTGTCTATTTTTTTTTACATTGGTAAAATCGAGTGTGAATTTTTTCGTGCATTTTCTCAAATTTTTTCACATTTGCTTGAGAGTTTTCTGATTTTTGTTGAAGTTTAAGTCTGGTTTCAGAAAACAAGTTCAATTTGCTCATAAAATTACATTTCTGGCTTTTTGTTTTATTTTAAATTTGTTTGTAAGGCTTTTTTCCGGATTCCCACCCCCCTCCTCTTCATAAAATTACAAAATAAAGCTGTTTCAAAACTGTTCACACGGCATTTTGCATTAAAAAAATGTAAAACTTGTTCTCCTGTTGACGTTGACACGTTTTAAGCAGTTTAATGGTTAAAAAGTTCACACGTTTTAACCATTTATAAATTGAAAATCGTTTGAAATAGACTTTCATTTACTTAATTTTAGAGTAAATCAAAAGGGGGGACTGGAAAAGAGCCGCTTGTAAAACTGTAAATCTGATTTCAAAGTTCTGGAGTTGATTGATAGTTTTAATATTTAAGTGATAAATTTTGCAATGTAGGTTGCACATAGTATGACAATTTGTATTTGATATTTTTGTTGTGAACAGATTTATCTTAGATCGTAACATCACGCGTTTAGCCTTAATCTCACGTAATACAGCTATAAAAAATGAAAATTGAAATGTGGGGGGAGGTGGAAGTGGAAAAAAGCCTAGTGTCTAACTTTTTTACATTGGTAAAATCGGGTGTGAGTTTTTTCGTGCAATTTCTCAAATTTTTTTGCAATTGCTTGAGAATTTTTCTGATTTTTGTTGAAGTTTAAGTCTGGTTTCAGAAAACAAGTTCAATTTGGTCATAAAATTACATTTCTGGCTTTTTGTTTTATTTTAAATTTGTTTGTAAGGTTTTTTTTGCCAGATTCCCACTCCCCCTCCTCTTTGTAAAATTACAAAATAAAGCTGTTCCAAAACTGTTCACATGGCATTTTGCATGAAAAAAATGTAAAAGTTTGTTCTCCTATTGACATTGACACGTTTTAAAGCAGTTTAATGGTTAAAACGTTGACACGTTTTAACCATTTATAACATGAAAATTGTTTGAAATAGACTTTCATTTATTTATTTTAGAATAAATCAAAAGGGGGGACTGGAAAAGAGCCGCTTGTAAAACTGTAATTCTGATTTCATAGTTCTGGAGTTGATTGATAGTTTTAATATTTAAGTGATAAGTTTTGCAATGTAGGTTGCACATAGTATGACAATTTGTATTTGATATTTTTGCTGTGAACAGATTTATCTTAGATCGTAACATCACGCGTTTAGCCTTATTCTCACGTAATACAACTATAAAAAATGAAAATTGAAATGTGGGGGGAGGTGGAAGTGGAAAAAGCCTAGTGTCTAACTTTTTTACATTGGTAAAGTCGGGTGTGAGTTTTTTCGTGCACTTTCTCAAACTTTTTTGCAATTGTTTGAGAATTTTTCTAATTTTTGTTGAAGTTTAAGTCTGGTTTCAGAAAACAAGTTCAATTTGGTCATAAAATTACATTTCTGGCTTTTTGTTTTATTTTAAATTTGTTTGTAAGGCTTTTTTTGCCAGATTCCCACTCCCCCTCCTCTTTGTAAAATTACAAAATAAAGCTGTTCCAAAACTGTTCACATGGCATTTTGCATGAAAAAAATGTAAAAGTTTGTTCTCCTGTTGACATTGACACGTTTTAAAGCAGTTTAATGGTTAAAACGTTGACACGTTTTAACCATTTATAACATGAAAATCGTTTGAAATAGACTTTCATTTATTTAATTTTAGAATAAATCAAAAGGGGGGACTGGAAAAGAGCCGCTTGTAAAACTGTAATTCTGATTTCAAAGTTCTGGAGTTGATTGATAGTTTTAATTTTTTATGTGATAAATTTTGCAAAGTAGGTTACACATAGTATGAAAATTTGTATTTGATATTTTTGCTGTGAACATCTTTATCTTAGATCGTAACATCACGCGTTTAGCCTTAATCTCACGTAATACAACTATAAAAAATAAAAATTGAAATGTGGGGGGAGGTGGAAGTGGAAAAAAGCCTAGTGTCTAATTTTTTTACATTGGTAAAATCGGGTTTGAGTTTTTTCGTGCAATTTCTCAAACATTTTTGCATTTGCTTAAGAGTTTTTCTGATTTTTGTTTAAGTTTAAGTCTGGTTTCAGAAAACAAGTTCATTTTGCTCATAAAATTACATTTCTGGCTTTTTGTTTTATTTTAAATTTGTTTGTAAGGCTTTTTTTCCAGATTCCCACTCCCCTCCTCTTCGTAATATTACAAAATAAAGCTGTTCCAAAACTGTTCACACGGCATTTTGCATGAAAAAAACGTAAAAACTTGTTCTCCTGTTGACGTTGACACGTTTTAAAGCAGTTTAATGGTTAAAACGCTGACACGTTTTAACCATATATAACATGAAAATCGTTTGAAATAGACTTTCATTTATTTAATTTTAGAATAAATCAAAAGGGGGGACTGGAAAAGAGCCGCTTGTAAAACTGTAAATCTGATTTCAAAGTTCTGGAGTTGATTGATATTTTTAATATTTAAGTAATAAATTTTGCAATATAGGTTGCAGATAGTATGACAATTTGTATTTGATATTTTTGCTTTCACCAGAGAAACCTAATTTTTATACTAATTGTTTTGTAAACGTTTCTTTACTTTCTCACATTGCAAGATTTTGTAATCTGTAGTTTTTGATCAATTTTTTTTCAAATCCTTTCTCCAGGCTTGTGAATTTCAGTTTTGAGAAACCATTTTAACATAGACATAACGCAAAGATATTTTTATAATTTGAGCAAACTGTTTATTTTGAACAACTTTGTTTTCCAAACTTTGCTTCATAATTTTGACTGTTTCCCACTCTCCCCCCACCCCCCACATTTCAAGTTTTATATAAAATTTTTCAATTGTCTAACGTCTTATTATGGCTAAAAGCGTGATGTTGCGAAGCAAGTTAGGAGGATCAATTATGTTCACAATAGTTAGTTTGTTCACCATGCAATTTACTTCATTGCATTATAACAAGGTTAAATTAGTTTTTCAAAAGTGAAACTCAAATAAGCGGGAAAGTGGAAAAGAGCTCAAATTTTGCTTTAAAAACTTAAGTTTAAATAAAAAATTGGAAAAGGGAAAAAAGTTATTTAAACAGAGGTGCCAGTTTTAATTGAATAAAATAAACGCTAATTTAATTATTTGAAATTGAAGTATCTCACCATATCTAATTTTCTCATACTTTTGCGAAACGACTTCGAGTTATTCAAGTTTTTTCATAACTTAAGAATACTTTTGGAGAATGTTTGGTTTTTGCTAACAATTTTATGAGTCTGGTCGTAGACCAGTTTCCGTCTAATCATAGATTGTTTATGAGTCGATGAACTTAGTTCAGAGTTTTGCTTAGGTCGCAATTTGTCAAGTCTTTTGATTTCTTACTTTCTTTTCAAGTTCAATTCTTTTCCTTTGTTAAAAGAAAGCCAACTCCACTATCGAACAATGAAATTAAAAATGTTACAAAAAACGCGGTTGACGTCGACTTTCGAAGGTGGAAATTATTTATTAGCTTTCAGCAACATAGAAATTTTACCTATCGATCCAGATTTTTTCAAATTGGGCTATTGTTATCAAAAAACTTTAAGGCTATCTTTTTTTCACGAAAAATCAAAAATTGAGATGTTTAAAAATCAAAAAACAAGTTGGTATTTAATATTAGAGCAGGCCGTGGGCAATTGGCTAAGATGCGCGGACTATAACACAAACGTCTTGGTTGCAAGTTCCGCTTCGGTCAGAGTTGGAGGGGTCCCAGTGTGATCTTTTCAAATATCAAAATTGCTGCCTCAATACAAAAGATTTCAAATCAGATTTGAATATTTTTGCAAATTTATTATCACTCAATTTTTTCTATAAAAATGATTTCGTAGATTTCAAATTGTTCATACATTTTTCGGAAGTTTTCGTTGTAGAGCTAGGCCAACATTGAGACCATGTAAAATCGTTAATCCGAGGGAAAGGAACCCTCAAGCAACGAGGACGGATCATGGTGGGCCTCAAACATTCGCCCTCTCGATTATGAGGTGGAGACGTAACCACTTCACCACCGCTCCCACCTTTTTTAAAAGATGTAAATTGTTCTAAATTAAGACCATTTATCCCCGAGGGAAAAGGACAACATACGAGCTGTACAGCTCATTACGGTGAACCACTGTTGTGCCCCTGCTTAACATCAGAACAATGGTTTAGTCGGCTTCGTTTTTAAGGGTTTCTCAGCTCGGATCAGGCGCTGCACAGTTTCGTGGTGGAGAGTAGTCGGAAGGAATTCATGGACAACATCTACAGAGCTGTGGACGAGGAACTGCTCACTGATTTGAAAGTATGGCCTTGAAATTTCTGTTCCATAAATTATGGTTCCATTTTGGAGTGAGGAAAAAATTCCAAAAATTAGTTAAAAAGCCCTCTTTTCTATTTTATACCTACAATTGAGTTTTGGAAATCTTTCAAGGACATTCCAATAATTCAATGACGTTTTGCATGGTTAACAAATTAGTTGTCCAGAACACATTTTTTTTCTCATGACAAAAATAAAGCAAAAAAAAAAATTCCCACAATAGCATTCTTAAATATTTAAAAAAAATTGCGATGTCTTGGGGAAAATGAGGGGAAAGGGGGATTGAAAACTATTTTTAAGGTTCTTCTTGTTCATAGAGAAAAGAAACTATTTAAATTTACCTAAAACGACATTAAATTTCAGGTTTTGTCACGTGGAAAAGCGGCTGAAAGTTTCAGAACTCTCTACGAAGAGCTGAAAGCGGCTAAAGAATCAACTTCAAACGCGCAATGTCAATCTGACAATAAAGATGACTCTGAAGGTCAATGCTCAGCAGAAGCAAAAAGTGAAAAGACTGAACAAACGACAGATTACAAAAAATCCAGTGCTGATACGAAAGAAACATCTGACAACGATAAGGAATTGAACATAGGCGAAGGAACTATATCCGACGCTACAAACGTCAATAAGGAAAAAATAACTGCGGAGAAACAACTAGTGTTGTTTATAAACAGGTCGGTTCTCATCGGTACCATTTTGCATGTAAAAAACAGTCTAGAGTATGTCTTATCAAAATAAAATTAGATAATCCAATGGACTCTAAGGATATTATAAGCGATTGTTTTCGAAACATAAAAAACTAGTTTAGTTATAACTCCTTATGATCAATTATAATCCATTTCTGCTTTAAATGGCTCGGCGACAATTCGTCGCAGGCAGCAGTTGGTCGCAAGCAAAAAATCTTTGCGAATATAAAAAGCGGCAATTGGTCACAAGGCAAGTTAATCAGAATTATTTTCATAGTATCTCCGTGAAACATTCCAGATCGAGTTCCACGCCCGCTAAGGCATGGCTGTTTGGTTGCTGTGCATTGATTACACGATAATGATGGAAAACTGATCTGCAACGTTTTGTCGCTTTTCAAATGCTACAAAGTGTCGCCTGCCACCAACTGTCGCTTGCGACGAATTTTTACATAACCTTGTCAAAATACAAAATACTTAATTAATTTTTGTTCTCAAAACCAACAGAAATTGATTTTTTTTGTAGATGTGAAATATTTATTTGCCACATCTTACCACGTCCCATCTTACCACGTCCCATCTCTACTCCCTTGACGCGATTGGTTTGCTTCTACTTAATTGGTTATGAAAAAGCAGAAAAAGCGTTCATTACAAACAAAATTGGATTTGAAATTGAAAACGTTTTTTTTTTGCTTTGAAATGTAGTTAAATTTTGTTTATTTTTCTTTAGTTATAATCTTTTGTTTCCGCATTTTGGAGATAAATACTACAAAAATCCATGACCAATATAATTGACTATGATCCATGAAACTCCATTGTGGAATAGTTTTCTCATTGAATTAAAAAAATTAGATATTGATCTCATCAAATTAGTTTGCGCTAGTTTGTTTGGAAAAAATAATTACTTAAAATTCTTGAAATTCAAGATGCTGTTATTGGTTTTTTTTTGTTTTACATCACAAAAACTGAAAAAAAAATATAAAATCATGATTTTGGGTTGAACTTCTTGAACTCATTAATGTTTTTTCGACTCTTTGTTGGCAATGGTTTCAACAAGAAACGCTGATACTTAATTTTAAGTGAGGCTCGAGGTGTTTTAAGGAGTTGGCGTTAAAAATTTTCAAAAACTCATTAATTTTGTTTCTTGGTTGGACCAAATTCATAACCGAAGTTCTGATAAGTTAGCTAGAAAAACCCTATATGTGAAAATATTATGTACTTTAGTCACATGTCTAAAGAATGTACTAAAAATAATTTTTTGCTTTTGTAGCCACTTCTTTGTTTTAGTAGCTCCGTGAAACATCCCTTTTCGAGCGCCACACCCGTTAAGGCATGGCCGTTTGGTTGCTGCGCTTTGTTAAATCACTTCATCCTAAATTGAATACGCAATTATTAAGGAAAAATGCTCTGCGACAAATTGTCGCATTTTTAATTGCTACGAATTGTCGTATGCGACAAATTGCTACTTTGTTTTTTGGTATACATATTTTTTTAAGACTCAAAACTAATTGAAATTGATTTTTTTTTGTAGATGTCAAATATTTACTCTGTTTTTTCCAGCCTTCTGCAAAACTCGAACACTAAAGAACACGATAATCTCCAACTTTCATTTTTCTCATTTAATAATCTCTCATTTTAACTTTCCACTACGTTCCACATCTACCACTCCGTCCCCCTCTCGAAATTTATTGCCCCTATCCCCTGTATGCCTTTATTTAAATGGTCTTGAACGACCAAAAAAGCAACTGAAACAGATGAAAAATGGTCGATTATAAATTTAAAAATAAAAATTTGAAAATGATCGATTATAATCGATTAAGAACGGATTCTTTTACTTCGAAATGTAGTTAAACTATAATTTTTTTCATTCAATAATAAAGTATTGTTTTCGTATTTAGAGATACATACTGCAATTATTCATAACCGATTTATTTGATTATGATCCATGAAACACCAGAGCGGGCTAGTTTTTTCAGCGGAATAAAGTAATTTTTTTAGATCTGATCCTATTAGACCTGGCAAGTTTTGTTGGAAAAAATAATTAAATCGAAGATTTTTGAAACTTAATTGCTGCACATGGTAATTTTGTTTCAAATTGCATCATCGAAAAAGTCTGTCATCAATGTTTTGGCTTGAACTCCTTGAGTTCATTGATGCTCTCCCGACTGTTATTTTTTTAGACCATTCATCCACGGGGGAAAGGACCAACACAAGAGCTGTACAGCTCATCACGGCGAACCGCTGTTGTGCCCCTGTTTAAGAACTACATGCAATTTTTTTGGTTATTTTTCTGGGCTGGGTAATGTTGCTTCACCCTCAAGCAACGAGCACGGACTGTCTGTTGGCGATGGTTGCAAACAGAACATTAATACCGAAGTTTAACTGAGGATCTAGATTTTGTACCTCAGGCAAGTGCTGAAAACATATGCCAAAAAAGATTTTTTGGATTTTTTTCTGCTTTGGTTTCAGCAAAAAAAGCACTTTTGCCCTCGTGTTCCTCTCTGATTCAAAATTAGCGCGTTGATAAAGATTTGATTGAACAAAATAGAGAGCGTAAAAAATGCCAAGGGTGAAACTTTGAAACATGATGGGTTAAAAGTCTTAAACCGGTTAGCTGTTCCTAGTTGTCGCCTCCCCCAGTTGTCTGGACACGTTTACTGATTTGTCTAGCTCGGCTGGTTTCGATTTTTGTCTCTGATTTTGCTGCAGTTTCCAAGTTATCTTACGTGGAGAAGCAACGTTAAGGTGGTTTTTCTTGAACGCTGTATCGGAGATCTGTTCTGAAATCAACTTCAAAGAAACTCGCCCTGTGATTGGAAATTTACCGTTCTTTCAGCGATTACGTCTCAAATGGCATAATTCCCAAATGGCATAAACTTCATGCAACAGTTGCGTTAAAGACATCGAAGTTCGATGTCTTTAACGCAACTGTTGCATGAAGTTTATGCCATTTGGGACGTAATCGCTGAAAGAACGGTAAATTTTCAATCACAGGGCGAGTTTCTTTGAAGATGATTTTTGTACATTGTTCACGAAAAAGTTTATTTGAAATAAACTTTTTCGTGAACAATGTACAAAAATTGGTCAAGTTGTCAATTCAAATGCTGATTGACATTTTATCTTGAAAAAATTGTAGAATTTTTCATAATCAAAAGCAAAAAGCTTAAGTGTCGCTTAACATTTGTTTGGAAGCAGTTAATTCCAAATATTGGTCACATGTTTTTATTCCTGACAAAATGTTAGAATTCGAAGTTGATAGAAAACGTTTGAATTACAATGAAAACTTGAAAATTATGCCATTTGGGAAAAGTTTCATTTTTAGTCCATTTGGGAATTATGCCATTTAGGATGTTAACCTTTCAGCCGATTCAGCACATTTGCTTTTAAATTTCTTTTTTGCTTCTGGCATGTGTTTCTGATCATTTTGCTGGCATGGGTAGCATCGTGAGGCTATTATGTTTGGGCTGGCCCATTTGGACGGTGAAATATTCAGCTGTGCAGTTTGCAGAAATTTTGACAATAATGTTGCAATTTTCACCTTTGCTTTTTTGTCATCAAAGATTTCAGCCCCGATAGCATATGCCTCATGCTTTTGTCTGCCGTTGAAAGAACTGGGGCATCTTTTTGTTCAAAGATTTTCATAGCTTTGGGTACCCCGTCATATCTCAGGCTTCAAAGATTTTCATAGCTTTGGATACCCCGTCATATCTCAGGCTTCTTGTCTGATCTTTTCAATATAAAGCTACGTGATCGAGTATTTGGCGGTTGCAGGACTCGGAGTGAGAGCAATAAGCATGATTCCATTTAAGATAAAAAATTTCAAAGAAAAAACGATCAAGCATATGATGCCATGACTCGTTTTTTGAAAGAAAGATTGAGTTTATAAAATTTTTGATTTCTGTTCAGCTGTTCAGGGGCGGATCTAGGATTTTCTCGAAAGGGGGGGGGGGCAGCGGATTTTGAAAAAACCTGCGTTTTTTTGGCACTTTATGGAAAATTTTGACCGAAAAATTGACCGAAAGCTCTCCCCTCAAAATTAGTATATATTGGCGCCATCCTCCCCCCCCCCCCCCCCCCCTGAAGACCAAATATGTTTGTCATAACTTAATTAGTCCGTATGTTAATTTTCATAACAATCGAACAAAGTGAACATAATTTTTACAAATAAAATTTTGCAGGTGGGGGGGGGGAAAGGGAAAAGAGCCCCGAGGTGTTTTTGGAAATCAATTTTCGAAATCATTACTGGGAGGGAAACTTACGCTATGCAAAAACAAAAGTTGAAAAAATCCAAAAATTGGCGCTTTAAATTTTTTTTTTTTATAATGTACAGTGAAAACGAGCTTTTACCAGTTTTGTTGAAATTAACGAACTTCGATGTGTTTTAGTCCAGCAGACTTCATGATAGTTAGACATCAAACTGAAGTGGAGGGTCTTCTGGAGGCCCTGAACTGTGACCTTTTATTCCCGGCTGCCAAAAACCCGAACCAAAGAAATTGCGCAGATTGCCCCGCCTCCAATGTAAGCCAGGGGTTAAAACGGGGAGAAATATGATAATTCAATTATGTTAAAAAAGATATCAGTCACTCCGGAGTCCTTTTGCATTTGTTTAGCTGCAGGTTTGAGATTTTTATTGAATTATTGCGGCCAATCTTTCTTTTTTTTTTGTGGGATCTACTTATATTAAAGCGAACACTTAAAAAAAGAAAAACTGCAAGTTTGAAACACAATTTCAAGCTATTTTCTAATGGAATTAAATTGAAAAAAAAAAGAAACTTTGAAATGCAGAATAAAATAATCATGAGAAAAAACTAATTACTCTTTAGGAAAACGAAGTTGGTGGAAAGGAGCTTGAGAGCAAAGGCATCATTCTCAGCACAAAAGGTAAGGTTTTAGCATCTTCATCTCAAAAACATCCATCTTTCCTAGTCTTACGTTCAATCTCATTATCAACCCCTCCATGAATCTCTTAGTTACAAGTCAGTCAGATGGAGTGGAAAGATATGAGAAAAACGTTAAATCCACACTACTTTAATTCTGAATTGAAAAAAAATCCTCCAACTTCAAATCAAATCATAACAACTTCAACTGTTCAGCTAACGCTTACTCTCAAATTCAAATTGGCAGGTACTTAATTAAATCAATCCAGGATCGCAGACAGCACCATGGCGCCAATAAACAAACTCAACTAACTCAAAACTAGTCATCATATGAAATGTATATATACATTCCCTCAAGTTAACTAATTTTAAAATGTAATTTAAAATTACACAAAACAGAAATTGGATTGAGTTTTAGACCAGCGGTCCGCCCTCTCCCTGGGCATAAAATTTTACAGTTTTAATTCCGAGTCTTAGATCTGCTTTTTCCGATCTCCTATGGCACGCCCGAACTTAGTTGGTATCCCGTTCTCTCGTTCCGTCCCCCCTCTTTTGATCCTCCTCGAAAATACTATCGATCATCACTCCACCGAGTTCCGACACCGCTGTAACTTCTTTTGGAGTCTTAGTAGATCGACAGAGTTCCGTCTGCGCCTCCTTATTCGACATACTCACTATAAATACATCTCGTAGAATCCTTCGCTCCAGCGCTCCCAGGTCGCACCTTGCGCTTAGTACTGAATGAAACACTTCTAATGTCTCCCCGTCCCGCTGTTTTCTGGATAATAATTTACAGGTTTCGAACTTCTCGTTCCTTTCTTTTTTGAAAACGCTCTCGAACTCGTCCAGCACTCTCGGATATCTACTCGTTGCCAAATCCTGGTGGGGCTTCCGATTATGGAGCTCATTCTCACCACGCTCCATCAGGCAATGATACAGGTTTGAAATGAGAGTCTGCTACGCCTCAACACGTTTTTCTCCTTGCACTTTTGCCGGCAGCGTCGCAATTTGGGTTGCCGTGAATGTCCGAGAGACAAAAATTGCCGTTAGATTAAAAGCGTGCTTTGCTATTGCCCCAGGTGAAACGTGTGATCCAGTGCTCCCATAGCATTGGTGTCTCCGTGCACTTACTCGGCCAAAACGCCGTAAACCTAAGTGGGTTCTTCCCGGTCTCCGCGCCGTATCCTGCTTGCTGCGCCATGAGAAAAACGTTAAATCGATACTTTAATTCTGAATAAATATTCCTCCTACTTCAAATCGCACACTCTCAATATCAAACTGGCAAAATTTCAATTAAACCAATCCAGGATCGCACACAGCAGCGATGGCGCCAAGAAACTTACTCAACTAACTCAAAACTGGTCATCATATGAAATGTCCATATACGCCAGATTTATCGTCTTAAATAGTTTCAGTTTAAAAATACTAGAAAAAGTTCTCAATCTAGAGAAAAACCGGTATGAAAGTTTTGCTTTTTAGTCCAATTTTGTGCGAGATAAGCCAGCGAGTATAAGTTACAGCCGAAAAATGTTAGAAAAGAGTTCGATTTGAACCAGCTATTGAATGATTATACAATGCCACAATTATACGATATCAACCTGAAAAATAATTATTTTTTGTTATTTGTTTTCACGTTTCGTTTTATGATTCAGTTCGCAATAAAAGCAACTGTAGTCAATTAAAAATAGTTATCTAAATTTACTTTTACTGCTTCTTCATAAACCAAAAAAAAAACAATTATTTCAAAAAAAAAACTCGGAGCTTTAAGTGCTACTTGCACATTTGCGGGTATTTTTGCTCTGTTTTGATTGCAGCTCATTCAGTCATTCACAACGTAGGTTTAATAAGATATTTTTTGTTTCAGCATTCCTTGGCACTTTAGATGTTGTAGAAGAAATCTTTTCGACCATCATTGAGTCAATTGGGCCAGAGGACGATTTCGATTCGGCTATCGTTAAACTGTACACGGCCGCTATGGAAGAAGTAGGTGTTAATAAAGTTTTCCGCAGCAGTTGTTTTAACATCTGGTGAAAAGTTCTTTTTTTATTTGTCAATTTGAAAGAAAACTATTTTTGGAAACTTCCATATCTAACTTCTAGATTCATTTTTTTATATAATGCTTAGGCATTTGAAGGCTTTCAGGTGTGATTTTTTGTCTCTTTCTGCTTTTGGGCTTTGACTAATTCTTTTTTTCTCGTTTTCTCCCCGACTTTGAGATTCATGACTTTTCTAAAAAGGTCTAGATTTTTTGTCGCTTAGCCCAAGTTTGTTACAAACGCGGCAATCTTAAAAATATATATGCTCGTTAGTAACCAGTCCAGGTATATTTTCTTACGTATAGTTTCCCATTATCGCAATTCTTTGTGACACTATTTTTTTGGAACACGAAATGAATAAGATTATAGCAGTTTGTTGAAAGTTTGTTTGCTTTCAGGCGTCTTTGAAACGTTCTTCCATTCTTCCGTTCTTCCATTCTTCAGTTGAACAGTTGAATTTGTTTTTAGAAGGAAAGATACAGAGTGCAGCTAGACTCAGGCTTCGAAGTGTTCCAGATGTTGAACCAGTATTCCCAGACTGACATTGGACTCCTCGCCAAAGAGCAGGAGGCCATGCCTGGTCACGTGGCTCTAGTGGTAGTCAATGTGCCCCTGAGGACCTCTCCCGCTTTCGTTATGGGACTCTATCAATGCCATGTAAATCTTCTAGAATTTTCTAGAATATTCCCGCACAATTTTCAGTTTTAATTTTTTGTCCAATATCGTAAACATGTTTTCAAAAACGGAGGTCAAAACCTCCCAAAATTTCGAAACAGCTTCAAAACGAAATAATTAGTTTTATGCGTTGGGTTTCGTCTAGAATCAAACAAAAGCTAATTTTGAAATTTACTTGGTCAAAAGTTTATGGCGTTTTTGGTTTGCTCAACTATTTCACATCAGAAAACAAGACGCCTGAATTAAAATTTCCGAAAAACTGCTCAGTATAAACTGGAAAATTGGTGTTCATGATGGCTTTGAATATTTTTTCCTTTTCAGCCGTTGATCATGCACTACCTGAGCTCGTATCTAGTGGAGAGAAAAGAACCCACCTTTCTCCAGCCAGCACTGCTCGATCCTAAAAAAGTAGGTTCATTTCGTGTCGTTGTGTTGCTTTGCTTCATGTAAATTTTGAAATTTGAAAAAAGCCCAAATAAATCGATTTTATTTGCTTTCCTTAAGTTTAGAATTCTTTTTCCCTCTGTTTATGTATCTTCTATTTCTTGAATGAAGTTAGATATTAAAAAACTCAATTATTTTAACAGTTTCCTGAAACTGAAGATCTTAAATGTAATTTGTTCTATAAAACACAAAAAAAAACGGATATACTTTTTTCAAATAAGTCGTTTATTTTATTTTATTTGGTTCACTCATCTTATCGAGATGTCCTTAGCTATATTCTGAGTAGGAATTAAAACTAACCAAGTTAGAATAATCTATTCTGTTTCAGCCGAAAGGTCTTCCTAATCTACACGTGGTTGTGGTGATGGATGGTCCTCTGCCCTTCCTTCACGACTTCTTTTTTCTCCTGTTGAAGCAGCAGTACCCCTCTCACTTGCTCAAAATACACATCTACTCGGCCGTAAGTACAACACACTGAGTTCAATTAACCTCAAAAACAAGTGTTCATGATGAAGATACCGAGAAATGCGGTCGGTTTTCATGAAATGAGTTGAAACTCCAGAAAATCAGTTGGTTAGACCGAAGAGTGTAGTCATTAAACCCAACCATCTAATGTTAAACTTGCACACGCTGCTGCTTTCAGTATGTAACGATTGTTATTTCTTACTTTTTTCTTGAATTTTTATTTTTGTTTTATGTATTTTTAATTCTCATTGTGCTGCTTTTAAGAAACAAACTTCATTCAAGTTTTAACGGGCACCACCTTGATTATAACGGGATTACAAAAATTATATCGATGCTTGTTGAATAATGTAGTAAATTTTAGTACGAAATAAAGAGACAAGACGAAAAAGATTTAATTCAGAAGTTGGTTGAAATGAAATTCTCAGATGACCAATCAATCAAGATCACCTACACTCCTATGGAGAAATCGTGTCCTCGATTATACGAATGTTCGCTGGAAAGAGTGCGGATGGGTGCCTTCGAGGCACTCCTCAAGGAGCTCCACGGACAGTCGCTGAAAAATGAAGCCATTTTATTGGTCAATTCGTCTTATCATTTGACCAATGAGAAAACACTAATGGTTCTGGCTAGATCCGAAATGTAAGTCGATCGATGTAAATGTTATCAAAATTGTTTGGTGCGCAAGGTGATAACTCTGTCATATCTCTAATCTTAGGTCGGTTGCTTTTTCTTAGGTCCCCTTTGTACTATTTTGAGATATCAAATTTTGGTGACAAACTCAAAAAGTTTCTTCGGCGCCAATTTATATTACTTTTGAGGGGGAGCGTGCGCCTAAAAACGCAATTTTTTGGTCAAATTTTTCCAAAAAGTGCCTAAAAACGCATTTTTTGGCCTGTTTTTTGAAATTCTGCCTGCAGCGCAGAAAGTTTGACCAAAACAGGGTCTTTTAGTGGTGCTTAGGAAGTGCTCGGAAAATCAATCTGTTCGACTTAAAAAAAAGTCGATAAAATTTTTGAAAGTTTTTTGAAAATCAGCCTCCCCTCGAGAAAATCCTAGATCCGCCTCTGCTCTAGAAAGTCATTTTCTCGGGTTCGATGACTTCATTGAAACTTTTGCAACTTTGTATTGGCTATGGTATTTTCAAGTTGTTTTGCTTAGGAACCTCATATCTCCCTGGATATCGTTCAAGGTCCCAGACATTCCCCCAGTCCACCACATCAACGTCCACAACTCCGTGCCGAAGAACTACCGAGTGATCAAAAAACAAAGCCAAACAGAGGTCAAAGTTGCTAGCAAGAAGGATTCCAACAACGATGACAATGAGGAGGTGGTATGATGTTTTTTTAAAAATTAATAATATTAATGAAATAAATCTGGTAAGTAAAGAAATCTGATGTTATCTCAACTAAGACTTCGATGACCAATAAATTTCTGGAAATGAGGTAGTGATCCAGATATGCAGATACAAAACTTTTGGAAACAGGGAGTTTTGCAAAGGTTTTTCATTTTTTTTTTTTCAAATTGCTTTCACTAATTTGAATTAAACTACTTAAATTACCCTATTTTGCTTGCAGCTAAGTTTTGGAAAAAACTTTGACGCAGCTTAATTTTTGAAAAAAAAAATTTTGAAAAAATATTTTAATTATGCCCGAAAATCCGAAAATTTGCATTTATTCGACTGTCGTTTTACCTCAAATAAGTACCCAGAAAAACTATGCCCTCATAAAAATCGCTTGGGTTTGTGACAAGAGATGCTAAAGGTTAATGAAGGAGAGAACCTTCGAGTAATCAAAGCGTCAAAGTCTGAACGAGGGAGACGTCCCGAGTAGCGATTGGTTACCATTTTTAACTGTTTTTCCATAGGCCAGCTTAATTGGGCCAAAAACAAGATAAGGGCTATGAGTTAACTGAATTTCAAGAAAACAGAAAAAATGAGCCAAATTTTTTGAGGCTTCATTTTGCAGAAAATTGTTTGCATACATGATCTCACTTTTTCCATAAAATACCGGAAAAATGGGCATAACTTCCCAAAAACTGGGCTCATTCATCTCCTCAAGTAAAAAATTTGCGCATCAGTTTGTGCAAAAAAAAACAAAAGAAGTCAAAACTGCCCAATTTCTCAAGCAAAAAAAAAACATGCCTAAATTGGGGCATGGTGGAAAGATTTTCCAGACTGTTGTGATTCTGCTTTATTTTATATTAATCCTGACCTTTAATTCTTAATTAGGCACCTGGCTGTCATGTCTATTCGAAGTCCATTGGACTTCGCATCGCTTTTCGATTGAAATGAAGAAAAGCTGTTTTAATTCAAACATCTTTATTTTATTCCTTTAACATTAGCTTACATAGTCTTATTTTACCAGTGGTATTTGAACAATCTTTTTTATGGCGCAGTCAGCAGATTCGAACTTGCCGGGATTCCTGCTTTTTGGCCAAATCACACTGTTGAACCACCCACCCATTGGAGTAATTGAATAGATCAATTCCACTTGACAATAGTCGCCAAAGGGAATATTGACATTGATAACCTAATGATCCATTGGTGTCGGAAACGGATATCCCAATTCCGGAAGGCGCCTCGAGGCGGATAAAAAAGTAAGATCGATTTTATACTTAGCCCTTGGACCGAAAGGAAAAGATTTTTCTCACAGAAACGGCCAAGAGTGAAAGTATTATCACTCTCCTTCAAAGAATTTTTCGACCTCCTGGAAGCCACATTTGTAAAACCAGCTAATATAATTTTCGAGTGGTACAAGTTTTTGAGCTGAAAACAAAAGGACAGATAGTCCTCTGAACAATTCTGAGAACCACTATCTGGGCTGGCTAAAACTTTCGAGACGGAGTTAAATGCTGAACAATAGTGGATTCGAGAAGTCTTTATCTTCAATATGAGAAACTGCGATCTCCAACAGAGGCCTTTGTCAGAAAATTTAAATCCAGTGGATGCTCTAAATCATCAGGCGATAAATGACAAAAAGGATACTTTAATCTCCAAAAATTAAACATTTTCACGAAGGCTATCAACAGCTTGAATAATAATGGCAAGATTTACAAAAATTTTAATCCTGTAAAAAAAGAACCAGGCCTGAACATAGAAAAATCAAAATCGTGTATGAAATAAGGAAACGCCTTTTCAAAAGGACACTTGAACGTTTGCCCAGCAACGGGCTTCATTTGTGATATTTGTAAACACAAAGGAAATTTTGGAAGACTCCGTAAAGCCAAAGCTAAAAAACGACTGTTAATAGTGTAGATAAAAAAATCTAACTAATCAGATTTGTCAATATTTTCCGTCGGAACCACATCCGAGCTATGGAGAAAAATTTTATGGGGCTATAAATTTCTGGTCAGAAGCGGGAACTAGCGATAATGACGACTACGCCGTTTTGAACACAAGAACACAAGAACAATCAAGAACAATCTACGACGATAATGGTTTAGAGACCAAAAAGCTGGTTAATGATGGGATATAGGCAAAGACGCAATCACGAACTTGAATAAAACAGTGGACTCCGCCAGCCCAGTCAGCTTCTTGTGACGAAGATGGATTCATAAGCCCCAAAGTCATCACTCAAAAAAAATACATTGAAAAAAATTAGCATTCGACTCAAAATTGCTGAGCAAACAAAACTTTCAAAAAAACCAAAATACCGAACATACATGAATTGATCGACAACATTGCTTTACAATTGTCAAAAAAAAGTCGGGAGAGGTGCGGTTTAGTAGTTTGGATTTGTAAAACGTTTGAAATTGAAAATTCAACTAAAACTATGCGACAACACAAGCAAACAAGGTAACTTTAGTATTGTTGGAGGGGAAATTGATGGAAAGTACCGCTTCCTAACCGGATTTTATGGTTTTGGAGATATGCCAAACAAAGTTCAACTGGTAATGGATTCCCTATTAAAGAACATACCTTTAACAATTTGTTACATTGGCGATATTTTTTTTGACTCAAAAGGTTCTTTAGAGAAGAACAAATGCACCTTATTGAAAATTTTGAATATTTTAGAAAACAGGATTATGGCAGCCAAATGGGAAAAATCTGCTTTTTCCAAAAAAACAGTGAATGGTTGGGCTTCAAAATTCCAAACACCAATGGTTGGAAAAGCAGATTCAAAAAAATTGCCCGAAACCAAAAAAAAAACTTTCGGAACTAAAGATTTTCTTCGAATTAATAAATTGGTACATGAAATTCGTACTAAATTTATCTACCCTCTTTAAGATAGTAGATTAGGACCACTTCTAAACAAGAAATCAATCTACCATTGGAATGATTCTCACACCTCGGCTTTTAAAAACCTGAAACGCAAACTGTCAACATAACCAGTTTGATATCAAAAGACTTTCAAAATTAAAAACAGACGCATCCCACAGCGGAATTGGTTCTACTTTTTAACAATAGGACGGTGAAGCGTGGATAATTAATGCTTTCGCCTCGAGATTCTTAAACACGCATGAAATGAAATATTCAACCATTGAACTTGAATTAGTGGGAGTAGTTTGGGCAACAGAACACTTCAAGAACTACTTATACGACTCTGAGTTTGAAATACTACCCAACCAAAGGGTCTTTTATCCGCATTTAATGCAAATAACGTTAACAAAACCATGCACAGCAGACTGACACGTTGGGTAAACAGAGTTTCACCCTTCAATTTCAAAATAAGACATTACCAGGAAAAGAAATGGGATTTACCGGTTTTTTTAAATCGAGATCAGCTTCAAGAAAAGCCTTTCTATCATCACATTACGACAACGAACTCTTGGTTGCCACAATCAGCATTATAACCAATAGTTTATTTGCAAATACTATGTGTCTGAATGAGGAATTGTAAAAAGAACAATTTGTTGTTAAATAATCCAGTGGACGCTATTAGTGTAAATAATGTAACAAAGTTGGATAATATCAATCCAACGGTCGGAAGGAATGAGAAAATACTAAACATCCAACAGTCGCTTTTTGCGAATGTTCTGAATTACGTCACAGAAACAATTAGAATTTGCATTGCGAATCACTCGCGTTCAGAGTCTTGGACAAACAGTTGCATACCTTTAAAACTTTCAAAATTCAGTTTTAGACAATTTTTATTAACAGAGAATGATTTTTTGTTTTTGTACCCTCTTTAATAAACTCACTTTCTGACTTAAATCCAAAAAGTAAGGCTGACCTAATTGATTCTCATCATTCATCTTCTAATCAAAAATTATCAGTCATTGCAGATAACCAAGGAATTTCTATTAAATTCGATAACGACGCTATGTCACAAATTCATAAAATTCTACTTAGCAAAAACAAAAGGGACCTAAAATTACCATCTTCCCCATCATCATTCGCAGACCATTGCTCTACTAAACTAATCCAACTCATGACGAACGAGGATAAAATATTAGTAGAAAATACAACGGTAAATGGGAAACGGGATTCCACCGGATAAGTTTTGAAGCTTATTCAACAACATTCCAAAAAACCATTCATTTGAAGGCGGGATTATGATTTAATCAGAAGAAATTAATTGTTCCGGCAGCCCTTAGATCCCCGTTTATGAGTATTTCACATAAAGCACACCCCGGATAGTTCGGCGTGAAAGCATTGGCAGAAAATATTTGGTGGTCTCATTTGTATAGAGAAATCTACTACCACGGAAAAATTGCTCTCAATGTCTAAAAGCAGGTAAGAAGTTGAAAGTCTTATTGCGATCGGCGAACACGCAGAAGTTACCGAAACTTACAAAACCGAACAAAGAAATTAATCTAGACTTCGCTGGTCCACTGGATAATAACTGGGGCAGATCGAAATACTTGTTACTCTGTATAGATAGACTTAAAAAAATTCTTCGGCGAAAATTGTGCACCTCCATCGCGGCAGCACTTTCCATTTTGGCTGATTACTGCAATCTACACGGGCTTCGAAATTCAATTAGAGTAGACCATTAGTCACGACTCATATCAAGCGATTTTTAAAATTTCTCTGAGGAGAACAATATTAACCTAATTCTGTGCACCATGGGGGTTAATAGATCCATTGGAATCTTAGAACGCCTAATTTACACGTTGAAAGCGAAACTTATGGCGATGTCTTGTAACGAGCCTAAGCTAACGTTGAATTCAGCCATCAATAAAATCATATGGATCCTTCCTTCGACGCAACAAGCATCCATTGGATATACTTCTTTTCTAAAAACATTTTACAGATCACCCAACACTTTTTGAAAAAGCCTAGTCTCACACGCAATTGATTCAGATGAAGGGTAGTCGATCATGGCGAAGTCAAGAGCCAATGATTGGGGATCCAACGACGACACCGAGGACGGCTACTTAGACCAG